TAGTTACATGGCATTGTAGCGGAGGTGTCTCTAGTGGCTGTCAGTGTAACCGCCACTATAGTCTTGTTTAAAGGGACATTGTAGGCACCAAGACCACTTCAGCTAACTGAAGTTGTCTGGGTGCTGTGACCCTTTTGCACTTAGTGCTGCAATGTAAAACATTGTTTACATTGCAGCTCTAAGTCTGCCTCCAGTGGCTGTCTACTAGACAGCCACTGGGGGCGCTTCCAGAATCTAAACTGACTTTTGGTCCATTATCTGACGCTGGACGTGCTCAGGGACCTCCATTGTCAGATTTTCTCCATAGGAAAGCATTGAATAATGCTTTCCTATAGGGAGGTCTAATCAGGGCTGGTGCAAGGATTTTTGCCGCCCTAGGCAAAACATTTTTTGCCACCCCATTCGTTCCACCCAGTCATGCAGACTTACAATCATAGACCCATGCACATACACGCTTACCCATACAGACACACACACTGACCCACACACATACGCTCACACTGACCCCCCTCCACACACACACACACACACACACACACACACTGACCCATGCAGACACACACTTACTCATAAAGACACACACACTGACCCATGCAGACACACGCTGACCAATACACACAGAGACCCATACACGCACACACACTGACCCATGCATACACATGCTGACCCATACACACACCGATACATACACACACACACACTGACATATAAAGACACACACACTGACCCATACACACACACACACACTGACCCATGCAGACTCACAGAGACCCATACACGCCTATACATACATACACACACACACCGATATATACACACACATACATACACACACACACACACAGACCTAAGCAGACTGACATACACAGGCATACTGACTGAAACATACTGACACACATTCTGTGAAACACACTGTGCATTCTTTCTTACCTTCATTGTACTTTGTTATTCATTCCTGTTTTCTTTACTGCGCCCAGGAGCCGACACTTTTTTCCCAAGCCCCATTTTCTGTTATTCTCCCACCCCTTTTCCCCACGTACAGGGCAAGGGGTGGGAGCGAGTGAATGACACACTCTTGTGCAGCCTTGGTGCTTGACTGGGAGAGGGGTCCTGAAATAGCAGGTTGTGGTGAATGCCAGACCGATGTTCTACCGGGTGCTAGTCTACAAGTAAGTGCTCCCTAGCGCCTGGTAATGCGTCCGCAGCCCGCTTTATATAATCAATCCCACTTGATAGGGGGGCGGCCAGACAAGCAGTAAAACCACTGCTGGCGCCCCCCTTAAGTAGGTGCCCTAGGCAAATGGGGCGGCAAAATGTTTGTTGCCCAGGGCGGCAAAGATCCTTGCACGGGCCCTGGGTGCTAGTATGTCTTAGCTAATCTGATGAGATCATTAAGTGGAAGGGAACATGTTTCTATGTGTATACCAGGAGTACACTGTGACACGCTCTGGAATGTTAGTGGGAACTTGAAACATTACTAGACAAGTTGATGGTGCTTCGTGGCTGAATAGTGCTATTCACAGAGCCTTGGTAAAGTTCTGTGATGTTTACCGCTGTGTGCCAGGAAGCACTGCACTCGTGCATTTTAAATCATAAAACAAGCATACACTTAACGCTTTGAGATATGCCACACCAAATACGGTACTCCTTTGTAAACTGCATGAGTCCCACCCTTTGTTGTCACTAGAGTTTAACCCTTAAAGTCGCAATGTCCAATTGGTGCTTTATACTGTGTCCTTGGTGTATAACCTCTTAGATACAGATGTTTGTTCAATTTGACTCTTTTATCTTTGATCGTACACTTGATCGATCCAAATTGCAGTTTGGTCCAAACTGAATCTTCAAGTCTTGTTTGAATTCAGTCTGTGTGCAGAGTCAATGGATTCTGTCTGCATGGTTAAAGCTCTGTGAGTCTGCTGCTTACAATGGCAAATAACCAGGAGCAAGTTGAAGTGTGTGCCTGAGGATAACGAATCTGTTTTACCTGAGTGAGGCGAGCGGAACTGCATGTTCTTTCACAGCTAATTGCTTTTATTCAAAGACAACCATCTCAAATCATGTCTGGTCTCTTTTGCTGATGAGCAATTTGAGGCTTTACACAGGAGGCTTTGTGCGTGAAGCAGACAGTGTTTGCAAGTATTTTTTAAGTCTCCAGATTTCACAGAGAATGAAAGGTTGTGTGATTCAGCATCTCTTCATCAATATGGGGATTTTTATGTTGCCATTTGGAAGGAGATGTTAACCCTTTTCTGCAAAAGGGTAGACCTTGAAATGACAGTTGGTTGTAGTAGTTATGGTGCTATGAGCTTTTTGGTTCCATTGGATACTGGAGCAGTTTGATTAAAATATAGGGCTATGTCTGACACCCATAGCCAACTCTGCACCCGCACTGATAGGGTGTATTGATCAGATAGGCAGAGCACTGGAGGTGAATGTATTTGTTTTAATTATCAGATCATGCAACTAATTTCACTTATAAATCACTGGAAGACATACAGATTTGTGTTTATACTCATTTTTGTTCTTTATATTTTAAAACATTATAAAAAGGTTTAACAGGTTACTAGAAGTTTGTTTTGGGAATTTTTGCAATGGTGTTTTAAAGCACAGTTCTCCCATTTCCCTGCATTTTTTTTTGCAGTGGTTGGAGGGTTTTACTTCTACCGTCTACTACTACTACCTGTTCAGAATGGTTAGATTAGGGCCAGCCTTGTGAGTTCTGGGGTGTCTATTGGGTCCAGGCGATACTTGTACTGGAGCGGCATTTATGTGCTTTATAAATGCCTCCAGATGCCCAAGATAGCATTATTTTCCCTAATACATTCTTCACCGTTATGTATATTTTCTTGTGCATGACGTAATAATGTTATAGAAGTGTTGGTGTCCGTTTGATAGTGTTATTGTAAGAATTTAGCTAAAATGTCAATATCCTGCTGGGACAAACAAATTTGTCTTCCAAGTTAATACACAAGTAAATGGACTGGGTCTCAGGAGGATATAAAATGTTAGCCATTACCCCCTCCAAGAAATTACCTTCTTATTTAAAAGAATATCAACTTAGTATAAGAGAAAGCACTAACATTTTAAACTAATTCACAAAGGGCACTTAATTCACGTGACAGACCTATTGTTTTATGTCTGATACTATTTAGCTCCATCTAGTGGTCAAAAAACAGTTAAAGCTATACAAAAATGATACAGAAGTAATTTCCAAATTATCATGGTGAGGAAAATTAGCTTTTATGAAAAGCCATGTTTCCTGCCATCAGCTAGATGCACTGCTTACAAGATGTGTTAATATCTAATCTGCTATATCAGATGACTAATTGCAATTATCCATAAAAGAATGAAATGATTAAAAGATCTTTGCCTCTAAAAAGATATGTTCTTGATTGCAATAGAGTATTTCATAGTTACTATTTTATTAAATGAATAATATTTTACTGTCATGTGTTTCATACAGAACATCTAGAAGTTCCCAACTGCTGCATACATTTTATTGTAAAATATCCATAAGAGCTGTACTTCTGCCTCTCCACAATGACATCGCCACATTCAGGGTCACCATAAAGATATCATTAGTCTACAGCTCATCCTGGAACACTCAGTTGTTAAACTGAAACCATTACTTTTCTGGAAATTACACAAATGAATAAAACATTAAAAATAAAAAATAAAAACTTTAATGTATGTTGCCCTTTTCTTCCAAGTGATGCTTCCTTTTTTTTTTTTACATTTTTGTTAAAGGAACACTATAGGGTCAGGAACACAAACATGTATTCCTGACCCTATAGTGAAAACCCACCATTTAGGTGGTTTGCCCCCCCCCACCCCCAGCTCCCACAGAATGGGTTAAAACTCATCTTATTTGCAGCTCTCCACGGGGGTCTGCCGGTGCAGGCCACACCCCCTTGGTGACATCATCAAAATTGCTGATTTCTAGCCAATCCAATGCTTTCCCACGTTTGGCCAGTAAGCACATGCCTATCTCTTGATCTCTCCTAAAGGGCAGCACTCTACTCTCTCCTATTTCCTGTCCTATTGTGAATCAATGCATCTCTATGAGAAAACTTCAATGTCCCCATGCAGAGCGTGGGGATGCTGAACGGCAGGGCTGCTTCTTCAGCAGCACTAACCCAGGAAGCCCCTACAGTGGCAATCTAAGGAGTGGCCACTTGGCAGTGTCCCTAGGGGCAATGTAAACACTGCATTTTCTCTGAAAAGGCAGGGTTTACATGAAAATGCCTCAAGGGAACTATTATACTCACCAGAACAACTACATTAACCTGTAGTTGTTCTGGTGACTAAAGTGTCCCTTTAAAGAGTTAGAAAATTACATCAGCCAATTTTATGCCACTAAGGAGATTATTTTTAGTAGTTGTAATAAAACATAAACCGGGGCAGTGTGTGATTAAATGAAGAATGGAATGGGTGGAAAGAAACTTGAGAATGGGAAGGGTGGGAGAAGAAATGCACACAAGATAAAAAGGTAGGAATAAAGATGGAATACGGACCCTATCACAAAGGCAAACCCTTCTCTATATTACATCTATTGCCCTCTGTTAGATTCTCTAAACATTTCTTTATGTTTTCAAATAACATCTCTTGTACTTTTATTTTGAGTGCTTTACAAAAGTTCAAAATTTATCATGGGTAGCATCAATGAGAGCTAAATAGTGATATATAAAATATAATAAAAAACAGAGTAATGTGGACTTGATTTTAACATCTGTACCACTTTGATTGTATAAAGAAACAGATGTAGGCGCTCACTATAATCAATCAATAAGATTGATAACTGCTTTGATTGTTTTTGTTTTTTTTCAGATTGTAAGAGAAGACTTTCCAATGCATACAAAAAAAAGGAAAGAGGTCTCTCCTGGGATACATCTCCAAATTAGGGCTTAACTCTTACGGGGAGTTATAAGGCATAAATCAGGATTAATAACCAGTGCTGCTGAAGCCGTGCGTGGACACACCAAGGAGGTGCCCGCCAACAGGTTTTTTCCCATCGTCACAATTGGCTGATGAGTGATCCTTGGACCAGAGACTGGCGAGTGTTAATTCAGTGGCCATTCCTAGGGACTGACGGCCCTACCTATGGATGGGCGAGCTGTTGCGACGTGGGCCCGCCTGCCGGCATTGATGCTGGGGGAGTGGTCCCACCTCTGCTTACACTAGATTGGTTGGGAGTAATTAGGGGCTGTCCTTAACTGTCTGGCGCCTTTTCTTCATAAAGCAGGCTGTGGGAGTCTACCCAACGCTAGCCCCAGATGAAGGCCCACTATTTTTAGCGCCAAAACGCACATTGGGAGTTACTAACTTTTACCCTCTATATTTGACTTTTGTTTATTTGTAGCCAGCATTATGATTTAAGTTAGTTTTTTTCTATTTATTCTTTTTAGGGGAGTATGAGGGTATGGGATTTTCTTTGCTTTTAGGAGACTAGTAGGACTTAGTTTAAAGTATCACTATAGGGTCAGGAACACAAACATGTATTCCTGACCCTAAAGTGTTAACACCACCATCTAGCCCCCCTGGGCCCTTCATGCCTCCATAAATATAGCAAATTCTTACTGTATTCAAGCCTGAAGCTGTAGATCTGCATGCTGTTTGCCTCAGAAAAACATGCAGTCTGCTGACATCATCAGAAGTGGTAGATACCAGAAAGTTGGAGTGCGCTAGCAACTGCACTGGAGTCAGGATCTTCTCTGAGTACTCTGAAAAAATATACAGTATATAGTGCAGACTATCTGTATATACAGGGTATGCAAAATTAAAAGTATATCTGGGATCAACTCACATGGACCAGAGCCCTATCACCCCTGGCTCTGGGTTTGAATTGCTCCAATGGAGAGGGATAAACCCACAGTATAGAGAGGCAGGAGCCCAAATTGAATAGTATCAAACACAGTATTTATTTAAACTAAGGGTTAAAAACTCTTACTTGAAGTAGTGGGTTTGCCAGCAATAAACCCACAACTAGATAAGCAGGAATTTACACACAGAAAATGATACAGCTTAGACACTTCCTGGTTCCGGTCATGTGACCGCTGGGACCGCCTCTCTCTGATGTCACACGTTACGCGTTTGACCGTCTGAAGAAGCCCAGGAGGCTGGCGAAACGCGTCACGTGTGACATCAGAGAGAGGCGGTCCCAGCGGTCACGTGACCGGAACCAGCAAGTGTCTAAGCTGTATCATTTTCTGTGTGTAAATTCCTGCTTATCTAGTTGTGGGTTTATTGCTGGCAAACCCACTTCTTCATGTAAGAGTTTTTAACCTTTTGTTTAAATAAATACTGTGTTTGATACTATTCAATTTGGGCTCCTGCCTCTCTATTTGTTTATACTGCCTAGATATTACATCTGATTCAGAAGAGTCTCCTGTTTTGCTATACTGTGGGTTTATCCCTCTCTATTGGAGCAATTCAACCCCAGAGCCAGGGGTGATAGGGCTCTGGTCCATGTGAGTTGATCCCAAGATATACTTTTAATTTTGCATACCCTGTATATACAGATAGTCTGCACTATATACTGTATATTTTTTCAGAGTACTCAGAGAAGATCCTGACTCCAGTGTAGTTGCTAGCGCACTCCAACTTTCTGGTATCTATTGCTAATTTGTGTCACTGTGTGTCACTTGGGGGTAGTGCAGCAGCACTGCAGATATTCTTAAGCGCTTTGACTCCATCTGGTTTATCAGAAGTGGTAGCCTGATCCAATCACAATGCTTCCCCATAGGATTGGCTGAGACTGACAAAGAGGCAGATCAGGGGCAGAGCCAGCATGATTCAAACACAGTCCTGGCCAATCAGCATCTCCTAATAGAGATGAATTGAATCAATGAATCTCTATGAGGAAAGTTCAGTGTCTGCATGCAGAGGGAGGAGACACTGCATGTTTGGATGCATTTTAGGCAGCCATGACCCAGGAAGGATTTCTAACAGCCATCTGAGGAGTGGCCAGTGACATAATCACTAGGCTGTAATGTAAACACTGCATTTTCTCTGAAAAGACAATGTTTACAGCAAAAAGCCTGCAGGGAATATTTCTTCTCACCAGAACAAATTCAATAAACTGTAGTTGTTCTGGTGACTATAGTGTCCCTTTAAGCAAGGTTTTGTTTCAGTTGCCAATCAAATTTACCAACACCAAAATCATTTCTACAGAAGCATTAAGGCCTATGTGGCCGAAACATCATATTTTTATTGTTCATGAGGCCATGTGGCTTTAATAAAACAATGTCATAATTTCATATCCTCGATGTGATGCCATCTCTTTCTGGTGGAATCTGTGCTGAACGATGAGACGGTCCTGTAGGGAGATGGAATTCTACGAGTTAGGATGATTGAATTAGGCAGTCATCACTTCCGAGAGACAGCAAAAAGAGAACTAGCCAGAGTCAGGTATATGGTAAACAGTCACAGGTAAACAAGAAAGGCAAGGGTTAAAGATAAACTCAGTCAGGAACAAAGCCAAGGTCAACACCGAATACAATACTATGAATCAGGGAACGCACTAAAAGGTACTTTGAACAGAAACCACAACAGGGCACTGTATCAAGGGCAAGGTAAGTTTAAACACTATTAGGTTTCATTTGATTTGTCCACATCATGCATGTGACCCAAAACGTGCGTGAATGGGGGCGCTGGAATTACGTGGGCCAATGGGAGCTGATGGTGAGACGTGTTCATCCCAGCACGATCCATGGGTATTGGAGCTGCACGTGGCTCGCCTCGAGGCAGGAGTGGTCAAGCCACACGTGGCACAAGCAGAGGACCCCAGTCGCCACTTAAACAGGGTAAGTACCGCTACACATACCCAGTGGTTTGTTATTTTACCAAGGTGCTACATTTGACTCCAACCTTTTTCAATCTTTATTCCTTATATTTGACTCCTAAAGAGATCCACGTTTCTACAACTCAAAAACACTGTTCTAATCCACACAAAAAAAAAAGAAATTCTTATGTATAATAGGACTAGAGGTACAACTGTGAACCTTCTAAATATGTTTTACTTAGTGAGTGACCTGGGCAAATTACTTTACCTCTCTCTGACTCATCAGTTAATACCTATAATAGCATTTACCTTTTAGCCTGTATGGAATATGACGTGCAAACCAGCTCTCAGTAAGTGTTTTAAGTGGATTCCAACCCACATGAGTTTTAAAGAATGACCATAATATGCTTATTGATAGAAAGGTTGAATGTTGGCTAAGGCAGTGTTGGATGAATCACTTGATCAATCCATATATATTAGATTTTCGAACTGCTAGACACAATAAGTGATACCTTCGTGATTAGTATGTGCAAAGAATTGTATTTCCCAGCTGGAGACATTGTACTTAAAGCGATTACAATACACAGGAAAAACTAAAGTGTTATAAAGAATCAAATAATGGATAAAAACGTTACCCAGTAAATGGTTTTTTTTTATAGTTGGAGCTTATGGTCTAGTTTTATAAAGCAAGCCATTATGTGTTTTTAGCCATGAGCAAGACTGCAACGACTACTGAAGAAGCTGTATGTTTTCATTTTTTTTTTTTTCATATGAAAGTTATATATTGAAATCATTATTACAGATTTGTCTTTGAAAAGTTCTCTTTTCATTTGGTTTTATAAAGATGCTGAAATGTTATGGTTACTAGGGCACTTGTCTATAACCTTTATAACTAATGGTTGTGGTTATGGGTAGAGTTGAGCGGACACCTGGATGTTTGGGTCCGGCGGGTTCAGCCGAACTTTGAAAAAAAGTCTGGGTTCGTGATCGAACTTGACCCCGAACCCGAACCCCGTTGAAGTCAATGAAGACCTGAACCTATGGCCACAAAAATGCCTCTAAAAAACTCCTGGAAAGGGCTAGAGGGCTGCAAAAGGAAGTAAAATGGGGGTAAGAGTAGGACAAGTGCCCTGCAAACAAATGTGGATAGGGAAGTCACTTAAAATAACATAAAAATTTAAAATACAGCTGAGCCATAAAATACCACTAGATGGAATCTTTGATTTTAGCTTTGGAAGAACATAAATCAAACTCTAAAGTATGGCTGTCAGGAGGATCACCAGAATTATCCATTTGAGAGAGGGTTGGAGTGCAGGGTATTCTCTTTCATTGTTCAAACTGAGCTCAACTCCTGATGCATGGAGAAAAGGCCTTCACAAGCCTTTGCTATTGTGTACATAGTTTATACTAAGATTCCATAGGTTGAGGAGGCCGTGACCGTGGTGGTGTAGGTGGAAGCAGCGGTGGAGGAGGAGGTAGCCAACACAGTTTTTTATATATATATATATATATATATATATATATATATATATATTTCTTTTAATTTGGGTTGCCCTCAAAATATTGGGACATACAAAAAAAGAAACATTTGCGGCCTGCGGTGCATTTCTTGCAGTCCTGATGCATGGAGAAAAGGCCTTTACAAGCCTCTGCTATTGTGTACATAGTTTATACTAAGTGACCCATAAGTTGAGGAGGTGTTGACGGTGGAAGCGGCGGTGGAGGAGGAGGAGGAAGCCAACACTGTTATATATATATATATATATATATATATTTTTTTTTTATTTTTTTTTATTTTAATTGGGGTAACCCCCAAAATATTGGGACATACAAAAAAAAGAAACATTTGCGGCGTGCGGTGCATTTCTTGCAGTCCTGATGCATGGAGAAATGCTCAACTCCTGATGCATGGAGAAAAGGCCTTCACAAGCCTCTGCTATTGTGTACATAGTTTATACTAAGTGACCCATAGGTTGAGGAGGTGGTGACCGTGGCGGTGTAGGTGGAGGAGGTCGCCAACACTGTTATATATATATATATATATATATATATATATATATATATTTTTTTTTTATTATTTTTTTTTTTAATTGGGGTAGCTTCCAAAATATTGGGACATACAAAAAATAAACATTTGCGGCCTGCGGTGCATTTCTTGCAGTCCTGATGCATGGAGAAATGCTCAACTCCTGATGCATGTAGAAAAGGCCTTCACAAGCCTTTGCTATTGTGTACATAGTTTATACTAAGTGACCCATAGGTTGAGGCAGTGGCAGATCCAGGGGGGCCACAGGGCAATTGCTCCCTCCCCCCGAGAAAACCGAGGGTCTCCCTCTCCCTCCCCAGTCCGCAGGCACTGTGCTGGCAGCCGGCAGGGGAGGGAGTGAGAGAGGGCCTGGGAGCTCAGCCTGCAGCTCCTCCAGGTCCTACTCTCGCGAGCATGGAGCATTGCCGCAGTTACCATGGCAACGCTGCAAATGACCTCCCTTGGCAACAGCTTCCGACTCAGGTAGGCTACCGGGTGCTCTCCTCCGTCCTCTCCGATCTGGCTTAATACTGCCCCCAGTCCAAACAATGAAGCGTCTGTGTGTACAATAAATCTTTTGTTAGGATCTGGGGCAGCTAACACCGGAGCATTTTGGCACTAAGACTACCGGCATTTTTCAACGCTTGGAAAGCCACCTCACACTCCGGGGACCACAGG